TAGGCTCTTTGGCATATCAGCAAGCGTGCCTAAGTAAACATGTTCCTCATCCTAATGACCCCAGCAATGCAGTCGGGATGCATCAATTGACGCTAAGTTCGAAGTGAAGATTTCCATTTCTCTCGACCAAGTTATTACTTGGCTACCCCACTTCCTCTTTCCACAGTACCCCCGGCGCGCATAAAATGCAGGTCGAGGGTTGTCGGGGTATTGCCATGCGCAAAACGTGGCCCAGCCATGGAAGCCTTGTGCGTGATATGATGGGATTGAGCTGTACACTTGCTCTTCTTGCACCGAATACGAGATGCCGAACAAGCTCATTGCGCCCGAGATGCTTCCAACAGACTTAAGTTAAGTTGCGAATGCAGCAAAGATCGAATTTGGCCAGTCGCTTTATGTCTGTTGACCTGATATGTCAGGTTTCACAACCGTATAAGAGGATTGCACGGATGGATGCATTACACACTCCACCCTTCACGGAGATAGTAATGTCTCTTCTGCGCCACAGGTAGCGGAGATTGGCAAAAGCAACTCAAGCTTTTGCTATACGGTTCTTATACACCTCTCCGATCCCATAGGCGCGAATATAGCTGCTCAGGTACCTAAATCCCTGAACGGTTTCTAGCTGATCGCCACCACGGGTTAGCGCAGGGGTGGATTCCTGCCAACGTAGGAGAAAATCTTTTCATTTCGATGGAGCAAACCATAGCCCAAATTTTATAACAGCCAGAGCTAATCGGTCCAGTGCAGCCTGGCACGTTTGAGCATTGTCACATTTGAGGGCAAGGTCGTCCACATACTCCACTTCGCGGATCTGACCTACACGAGCTCCAGTCAGTCTGTGGAGAAAGACAGAGGGAAGTAATTTAGTGGCGATTGAAATCAGACTGATCCATCGATGGTCGCCGTATTCCGAACCGGAACCGCCATTAAAAATTCGATCTATGACGAAGCGGCTCCAGTCTGTCGGGACAGATTGCTGCTCCTAAAGTTCCAGTAGCATCTCATGTAAATCATCCACAAGCACAGGGCCCCCGAATTTTAGTGAGATGGGAAATTCCATCTGCACCAGCGGCCTTATACATGTTCAACATCTGATCTTATGTCCGACTTCTGCCCGTGAGGACGAATTTAAGAAGACGGCCCATGAAAAAGGGCACTCAATGCCCGGAAGAAAAAGCGATAACTCAGACTGGTTAAACTGCCTTGCGAATGTTCGACGCAACGCTCCAAGCGTTTTGACAAGCTGTGGATAGGTTGTCCAGCTCGCCGTCTGTTGTCTCACTAACACTAGATCTCCTGCTGCCTGTTTCCCAAATGAGATAGAATAACTTACGATAATGACAAACCTCAGCGGCTTTTACTATTTCCGATGCACGATGAGACCACAATTCTTTGCTGTCTCTCTTCAGGCTAGCGCATAGCTTTGCTTGATATTTTGAAAATCTCATTGATATCGCTTTCAGGCAGAATACCTCGGTGAGCATCAAATAATTCTAGAAAGTTTGTAGAGACCCAATGTGTAAATTGACAATTAGATCTGCTACCTGAAGACGTGCCTGATGAAAGTAACGTTTGACGAATAAACGACCGGTGATCTTCGACGGCGCTTAGTGGAAACTTACTCAGTCCAGATCCCCGTGTAGTTTGATACGCATTCAGAACACACGGCTTCGTCAACTGGCTGATATCAATGCGCACAGAGCCAAGTTGCGACCGTCTGCCGAAACGCAATCGCAGGTCAGCACACACGAGAGCATAATCGGAGTCCACACTGGTGCTCCAACTCCAGCGACAGTTTTGGACACAGTCTCTCCGGCGGTAACTACTCACGATGTGATCAATTTACCTCCATGGCTGCCCCGAGACTGTTGGGTGCCAAGTCACGATTCTGCGGCTGCTGTGTCGAAAGTGAGTGCTCGCGAGAAAGAGACGAACACCTTCACACAGGTATGGCAACCGCTCTCCGTCATCATTACGGGCGGGAACACCAAGTTATCCGCTCAGATGAAACTCATCAGAAGACTAATTTCCGACTTGGGCTTTACTATCACCAGCAAACACCACAGTATGCGTGCTACTTTTGTAACAAAGAATGTCGTGAAGCTGCTGATAGAAATTATCTTGCACGGAATCAGGGCTGTAGTTTGTGTAGCTTAAGCCGCAATTACAAACAGACACCGTTTGTCCACGTACGACTTCTAAGCCTGGAACGGGCCAGGTAGTACATCCGGCTTTTGGCAATCATTCAGTCCTATAGGACAGCTTCATCCCGGGAATTCAAAACAATGCCAACACCAGCTTGACCGGCATTTGAAGATGCAACATTGTCAGACAGGCGTAAGGAGAATGTGCAGCCAGTGTTGCATATGGTGATCGCAGACTACACGACCAGCACGAATCTTGCTGGCGGGTTGCCGAGCACTAGCAAATCTCAATCGAGAGGACCTCGAGTGTTCGGGCAAGTGCTGCCTGTAGACCAACCTGTAGCAAAGTGCGTATGTTGAGGTATGCCAGTCTCATCGTAGGTCGAGAACTCTAAAGGGACACGGTTGAACTGGCGTTATCCGCTAGGTTGAACATTGCATTGTCAACTGGACTGCAGCAACCTCAGCGAATGTGTGTGGGTTGAAATTTGAGGACAAGCGACTATTTAAACAAGGTGCGGGAGGGATAAGAATTGATGGATTGAAAACAGGAGGATAAAAGTGAAGTTGGAACGGGACGTAAGGATGAAACAGTACAAGAAGGAGAATAAGAAGGCGGGAAGGTCTGAGCAGTAACATCCAAACCCCCATCCACCTTGTTCGACGCAGCATATAAGGCGCTGTTGATAATCCTCTGCGACAGCCAGAGTACCAAGAGATGTTAGAAGGAAAAGACTTGGTGTATTACGTAGGCAGGATACTGCCAGACCGCTCAGGCTTAGAATAAAGAACGAGTACAGTTCATAACCGAAGCTTTTGGTACAAAAGCCTTACCGTAAGGCAGTGAGGTATTGGCTTTTGTCTACAAAGTGCACGTTTTATAGAGTAATGGGTCACCCTCCATCAAATCCCCAACCTGGAGGGCCAAGAGACTGCGTTTGTCTGGCCTCTTAAACTTAACCAATCTGGTATGAGGGATATGAAGATGCATAAAACACCCCAGCATAGCTCAATGGATCACTGAGACAGAAAAACCATTGCACCACAGTCTCATCGCGATGTTGACTTCCGGCCATCTATATTGATTTCACGAAACATGAAAAGGTATCTTACTCCGTGAAGCCAGTAGGAATGTTCTTATGTTTTGCTACCTAATGCAACTGTACAGGACGGGTGTTACGCTCCATTAGGGCTCGACAGTGTTGTACATCCCTCTGCTCCATTAAATACTTAATTCATGACCGTTAGCAGCTGACGCCAAATGTCCAACGGATTATGTCACTGAGCATTGGGGGACGGTGTAGGCCTTCATAGCTTGCAAGGTAGTTATTTCTCAACCAGGATTATGTTTATGATATCACAAGCCGACTGAAGCAGTACTGTGCGCAATACAGGGACTGGATCCCCATCTAGTCATATTAGCCTCAAGAAAAACTTGTAGCGGACTAATTGAAAACAACAATAAATAACAACTTCTTAGAACTGTTCAGGTCTGAGATATATTGCCTTACGAAGGTTTTGGACTCTCAACACATAAACGCTTTACATTTTGGTTATATTTGTTTAGCTAAATTAAGCGGAACGCCAAATGACTCTAGTTATCTCTTTCATTATTACTTCTGAAAGCAGTAATTTCACAAGGTAGAATAGTTTGCCATTTGAAGATGCTCCATCGGCAAGGAGATTGCGCAACAACGGCTCAAACACGTCACTTGCGCTTTGAAACTGCATGCGGCATATGTAGATGCATGACCATATAGCTCAAGGCTAGTTACCTGAACATGGTGGCTAGAGCCCATGTCCCGTGGCCAGATGAAGTATAAGGAAAATAACGTATGTGCTAATTACATAGTAGATGATGGACCGTCGCAATATCCACGACTGCCGAAATAATAGAAATTATGTCCGGTCTTTTTCATATATATGATGCAGCAGTTCGGATAAGCGTGTATACTGTGAATCTCTCGCAAAATATCGTCCATGCCATTAAAGCATACTTGAAGCTAACTTGTAAGGAAGATTTATCCAAGTGGCATTTGGAGGTCAACAACTCCAGCCGTGCCTTTGCAAGCCAGTGATATCTTATTACATCGCGTGATGTTGGTGACTAGGCACCAAACATGGCTTCTTCTGTTAAATACAGCTGGGTAATTCAGCAAAATCACCTTCCGAATATATCCATGTTCTTTCGTGTAAATAACATTTTGAATCACAGGTCATTTTCGTTGAGTTTTGTGCTGAGATCAGCGGGAAATTTGTGCAATTTACATACTTTGTCTCTCTAAGAACCTGCAAGTTACCATCTAGTTTTTAACTGACTTTCTCAACAAGTAACTAAAATGGTTATTTAGCAAACGGTCAAGGTATACCTAGACACGACTTGCCGGTTTCTCGTCACTAATCATTCAAACGAATTCTGCTCGTCTGCGAAGCCTAGGTTAAAAATCTGTACCTTCTTAATAGTAAATCCACAATGTTCTATAAAAATTTATGGGATGAACTCTGCTATATCATGTGCAACCTAAATTGTGTTTTGCCCCAACAGCCACAACTTCCCTACATGATGATTTCCGGAGTTTGAGTCGTGCAGTGAAACCCCAACTTGAAACAAAATATTGAAAATATAAAACGCAAATTCAACTAGAGTTTCACTGCTCTGCTCAGAGCGCAGCACATTGATTCACGGACTTATCGCAGTATGGGCTATCGCTTTCGTAAGTGTAGAAAACCTCCGAAATTTCCGCTCATTTGTCTGTATTTTACTATTAAATCAATTACAAAATGTAAAGGGGAATATCCATACCGATGATAATTACTACGTTTCATAGAACACTAAGGAGGAACGGCTGTGGTTTATGGGTCTACGAAAAGATTTACAACGTTTATCGGAAACTCCGCACAAGCCAAAGTCTCCTCGTTGGATGACAGTGTCCATCTCATCTCCATTGAATGCCTCTGGAAAACGAGTGAAGCGATACGACGGTTTCGCGCATAAGGAAAAGATGAAATATGTGCGTTCACAATTTGCATATTGTTGGACTTAAATTTAGACCAGTGATGACAGGTTTTTCCGCAGCTTCTGAGCGACTAGCCTTTCCAAGAGTAAAGGATAGCATGATGGTATACATAATTATTCCATCTTGTAGTCATATGGGTGGGTGAAAGGTTGAACATTCCGGTAGTCACATCCTCAATAATTCGACGTGCACACATTGGTTCAAAACGTTACTACTTAAACGTGTGCACGTGTACACAAGTTTAACACTCTGCAGGCGGTGATTTTAGCTTCGTAGAGACGTCACGGGTATACCGTCAAACAAGCCACTGCGGATTCAGGAATGTGATGAGAGACCTGAATACACTTTGACAAATGGGGATGATGCCCATACGGAAAAATATATGTTTAATAAAGGTACGTCCCCGTACATTGCCGTTACTATCATTTGGGAACAAAATATTATCAGTTTATCTAGTTATCATCTACAGGCACTACACAAAATGTTGCGACTAATTAATGAAGAAGGAAACATGGCTAGCACGTACTCGAGGGAAAACTGATGACACATAACCCCTATACGTGTAAGTGTAAACGGTCCCGTCCGCTTGGATGGGGCAGCTAGGTTGTGTGTAAGCACACAGAGTGTCATTGCGAACCCTCATGCGAAAAGGGTATCCAACCAGTTTCGCGCTGTATGCCGTCTGACCACTTTCGATTACTCTGTCTGTGGAAACGGAGAGAGTAGACGTTAAGCACTCAACACAGAGTCGTGCGCATTCATATATAAAACCCATCAGTAAAATGCTAAATATAAACCCACTTGCAGTAAACTGGATAATCACGTATGCCACTGTTCCCGAATACAGCGTGCACACATGGGCGTCACAATTCCTTATAGCAACGTTAACCAGTGAGCCAATCTGCGATCCTGAAACGGAGACGTCGGTTAGTAAGTACACCACTGAGTTCGAGTGTAAAAAGCTCAATGCATTACTACATTGTCGCGGAGTTGAGCACAGTCCAGTGTCACAACATAACTCACCGCAATCTGTGAAATTCATGCTCCAAACACCTGGGGCCAACTGAATCAGAGCAACAAGCAAGATAGCCAACTTGTTCGTCATGACCATACGGTTGCTTCGGAAGTCCACTTGACTTCGGCTGACAACTTTTGGCTCTTTATATCCAAAACTGTTCAGCCCAGTCGAATCACATGACAAAAGTGTTTTGGTGATTTATGATTTTCTAGCAAATTTCCATCGAAAACAACTCTGTCCCTGACCTTCTGCATCGTCCTCTTCCACATACGACTACAAAAGGTGTGCTTTCCTCAGATGTCTGTCTACAGTTTAACATTGGTTAAACGAAATTGTGCCTTTTGTTTCTAGAGCTGGGGCTTAGTTTCGCCTAGAGTCAATTCATACTCGACGTAGTTACATCCTATGAAGTGAAATGTGGTCAGTGCGGCCTCCAGAGTAACTAAATATATGAACTCGAGGAGTGAAGTTGGTTTTGTTTGGTTCGCATATTTTCCGGCAAAATTTTTATTACGTTTTGTAAGATTCAGGCACTAGGAATATGAAGACTGTATGTTACTTCAGTTTTATCCATTTCCTCCTGCATAACGGAGCAATCTTGTATTGACTTGAGATAACGCGGGATCAGAAGGGAAACCTAGCGTTTCAGCCTGAAGGAAACGAACCGATTTGTTGAACTTTAAACTTTCCAGTATGACGCGAAATAGTTAGCCATTTTGCAGAACTAAAACCGAATAAGTTAATTTATTGTATTGCCCCCAGGAAATAACCATCTTTTACGTACAACTGTATGTTTGCTGTACTGTACAACACACATTTGGGAGAGTCACAGCCCTGCGCATAAGCTCAAACACTACTGCATGATGCTTTCACGTTCGGTTTTCCCAAGCAATGTACTTCACTCCGCAGAAATCAATACGTTGCTGATCATCTGTCCTTAGAAAACGACGAGATAGAGGAGTTGTGCCCTGCAGCTTTTCAGGGCCGTTGTCGTTAATGCTGTTAATGTTAATTAACAAACCCTTAAATATGGTAGGTACCGCAGCAGACGTTGAATTCCAATGACGTGTGCCTTGTCTTTCCAGATGTTTCATGAGAGGAGCGCAAACTGGTGATGCAGAGTTTAGAAGCATACTAACTAAACGAAGCACACAGCGCATTTATGTCCTTGGCATCCCCTAGCCTCATGAACACGTTGAATACGAAATCGGGAGATACGACCAAGAGCAGTAGCTCTAATGCTGGGAGACTTTGCTCTTGGATTACGTCGTAGTTGCTATTATTTCCAGGCCGTTAGGATCAGCAAACTACCGAGGGTGTAGCCGAAGGTTAATGAAAGTTGTTCTTCAAACTAAGCAGATGCCATTTCGGCTACTGGAAAGCTGGAAGCCCCCCCCCCTACGCAACACAATGACAACCGAGCTGCGGTTCATAGCGAATCAAATCGAAAATGTCGTCCGACGTAAAGCGTTATTTTGGCAAACAAGGTAGGTTTAAAGTCGAACTTCACACTGAAAACAGGTATGAAAGCATTGATGATCTTCTTATGCCATCCTGCATCCATTTTCCATGGGTGTACAAACGAGTTACTAGAGTGGTTAATGATGATGCGGAAAAACCTGACTCCAGGAGATGCACCAGTGATACTAAGAATGTTTGGCGGCATCCGGTTTCGGATTAGCCTGTCACTGTGGCCAGCCACAGGACGCCTGCGCCAACAGCGGGAACATGGGTGGCTTGCGCTGCAGCACCCACAGCTCCAAACATACATCCCATATTCAGTGTAAACCCGAAGGAATAAGACCGTGAGGCATGCGGATGAGAGCCACGTTTCATCAACGGAGCCGGCCCACACTTCTTCACAGCAAACACAAGCACGCTGTATTTGGGGAATCAAGCGCACACAATTCGATGGCTGAACCAGTGTCCGCTCCACACTGATGGCATGGAACTACTCTTTGATCCTAACACGGCCACAAGGACCGTGCAGCCTGTCCTCTCCAGCAACGACCAACTGTCTCCTGGAGCCAGTATGGACGAGGTAGTTGGTAATAGACAGGTAGGCACCTTGTCAACATGCACATCAAGCGCAGCCACATCGGGGATATCAAGCAACAGCCAATCACTTGAGAGAGTGATGCAAAGAAAATAACTCGATCAATGCATAAGGAAACGGTGACATTAACCGTAACTTAATGAGCATATGAAGTAAATTGTTTACAAGCGAATCCTAGGTATGTTAACTAAGTCAGAAAGTATAGTGTACGGAAATGTCACGAACACGAAAATGTTATGGAAATGGAATACAATTGGCTTAAGCGAGGTGTGCAAGTTAATGGAAAAGAGTACAGGTAGACATTCATATGAGAAAGAAATGCATTAGGGCAAAATTGGAAACCCACCACCTGAAATAAAGAGAGTGAGCATACAAGAACGCGGTTATTAAATCGAATGCAGCGTGTGATGGGAGTATACACTCGAACGAACGTGCGGTGCCAGCCCAGCAAGGAAGCCCTTAGGCTGCCGCAAGCAAAGGCGGCAGCCGATTGGACGTTCACACGTTTCTCGCATGCACGCTGATTAGCAAACAGTTGGATGCATTGGAGTGAGTTTGTTTGACTGATCCAAAGGAAAATTGTCATGCATCCACAAAGGTCGTTAATTATGGATCCAACTAGCTGTATATACCGATATGTTTCACTCGCCCTCTGCCTGCGTTTTCGCCTGGTCCTGTTGTTGCTGAATATACGTTTTGTCCCTGAAGGACCGACTTTTTACATGGTGTCAGAGAAGGAGAAGAACATTAGTACCACCCAGATGATGACTGGAGCTGCACCGGCTATTCAAATGCCTGCCCCGCTGAACATGGATGAACGCAGTTTGGCAAGCAACTGGCGTTTGTGGAAGAGCAAATGGATGGATTTCTGCACTTTATCGCATCTGGACAAACAACCGATGGCGTACCGCTTGGCCATGTTTCGACACGCAGCAGGAGATGATGCGCGCCGCGTGCTAGAGACATTGTGTTACGACAAGAGCGAAGATGCCAACAATCTGGAGACAGTTCTTGAGAAGTTCAGTGAATACTGCGAAGGCCAAACAAACGAGACATCTTAACGCTACCTCTTCTTTTCGCGGAACAGGCGGCCAGGTGAATCCGTTGACACGTACGTCACTGAGCTAAAGATTTTGGCCTGATCCTGCAGTTTCTGTAAATGCATAGCGGACAGTCTCATACGGGACCGCATTGTTCTTGGGATCAATGACGAAGGTTTGACGAAGCGACTATTACGAAAGCGCAACCTATCTGCAGCAATGTATCGACATCTGTAACAGTGAGTCCTCCACTGCCTATCAGTTCCAGCAGATGACAATCACAGGTGATTCAGAGTTGTGCGCTGTTTCTAGGAGCAAAACTACGAGGGCCACGACCTCGCGGCAGGAGCCCTGCAACTTCTGTGCAACACGACATCCGAGGAACCGCGAACAGTGTCCGGCATGGGGCTGCATTTGTGTCAAATGTGGGAAGCGCAATCACTTCGCCCGCTGCTGTCAGTCGACAGATGTCAGTGTACTCGTTCCAGACAAATCAAAATAAGACACCGAACAATCGATTGGTAACGTGTCTCGGAAAGCGTCGCAGAAGTGTGTCTATGCAAGTCTTCTGATCGAGGGACGGTTTTTGCGATTCCAGTTAGACACAGGCGCGACGATCAATATTTTGCCCAGAAAGCAATGCCGCGGCGTGCAAATTCAATCTGATCAAGATTATTTGCGCATGTGGAATGGTTCCAGACTCAAGCCAAAGGGCCCAGCGACAATTGAAGTGGTCAATCCGAGAGACGGTGTTTCGCATCGTCTGCAGTTCGTGATCGTGGATGAGGATCTCACGCCGATTCTCGGCATTGATTCGATTTTATCTCTTGGCTTTGTCATTTTTAACCATGATCGTTTTGTGTACGCTTGTCAGAATGAAGTCGATGTTAGTGACCTGTATCCGTCGGTGTTTAGCCCGGGTTTAGGGGAATTCGAGGGTACCGCTCACCTGTCGTTAGATCCTTTGGCACGCCCGATTGCGTTACCTTCTAGGAGAATCCCATTTGCGCTACGTGACCAATTTTCCGCGGAATTGGACAAGCTGGTTATGCTGGGTGTGAATGCAAAGATTGATGAGCCAACAGACTGGGTTAGCCAGGTCGCAATCATTGCGAAGAAAAATGGCGAACTACGCGTATGTATAGACCCGAAGCCACTGAATGAGGCCCTGCGTAGAGAACATTATGCGATACCGACGTTAGAAGATGTTTTACCGCGTTTGACAAAAGCTAAGTTTTTCACGAAAGTAGACCTTTCTTCCGCATTCTGGCACGTCGTTCTAGACGACGAATCCAGTTTCCTCACCACATTTGCTACACCGTTCGGACGTTATCGTTGGCTGTGATTACCGTTTGGCCTAAAGGGTGTCTAGCGAAATTTTCCAAAAGCGTTTGGTGCAAGCAATAGATGATTTAGTTGGCGTAACCTGAGTGGCAGATGACGTTCTGATTTACGGTTCTACCGAAGAAGAGCATGACACTAAGCTACGCCGGTTCCTGAGGCGTTGCGTGCAAAAGGACATCAAGCTAAAACGCGAGAAAGTAGAGCTGCGGAAAGAGGAGGTGATTTTCCATGGGCATGTGTTAACATCCGACGGAATCAATTGACCCAGGGAAAATTAAGGCGATACAAGAGATGCCGTCCCCTAACGATGTGAAGGCAGTCCATCGCCTAAACGGTATGGTGAACTATTTAAGCCGGTTCCTACCAGGACTCGCTGATGTCATGACTCCGATTAGGCAGTTAACTCACAAAGAAGTAAATTGGAGCTGGGGGAAGGAACAGGATTTGGCTTTCACAACCATTAAGAACCTCATCAGTAATGCGCCCGTACTCGGATATTACGATCCAGCACAACCATTGGAGGTACAGTGTGATAGTAGCCAGAGTGGAATAGGTGCTGTTCTGTTGCAGAAGGAAGACCTTTGGATTTCCGCAGTCGAGCAATCACAGAGGCCGAGAAGCGGTACGCACAGATGGAGAAAGAGATGCTGGCA